GACTATGAACATGGCCACAATGGAAAATAAAACATCTCTATAAATCTAGATACATATATAACAACCCATACATCCAGTTAAAAGTAAATTAAATTCATCCTTGATAATGGCTAAGAGTATAACCGAAAGCGTTCGGGAACGCAGGACATTTGGACATTTTTTACATTCGGTGTCGAGAAAAGAAAACACTTGTACGAAGGCAAGAAAAATTAAATAAAAGCTGAATCGCAGTAACTTTATAGTCGTCTTTAGTGAAGCATGTGTCAAAAAGACATTGCTGCTTAAATACTCTCCCCCTCTCTCTCATATATATATATATATATATATATATATATATATATATATATATATATATATATATATATATTTTGTGTGCGTGCATGTTTGTATGTATTTATGACTTTAACCGTTATTTCAAGTGTACATCCATATTTGAGTAGGCATTCGTTTCTGCCGAAGAGCGAAATTCTCTCTTTAATAATTTTTCTCGGACACTCAGGACGGTAGGTGAAAATGAATAAATATACGTTTACTATAAGTAAACGAAGCGCCTAATCAATAACGAGTATTCACTAAAAAATAGCGTTTAAAGTGATAAAAATCTGTCAGGTTTATACCCCCAACTTAAAGATCTACATGAAGGAAATCGAAATAAAGCCTAGTGCCCTACCATTTGGAAGTTTGCATTGCTTGGCTTTGCAAGTATTCTGGGAAACTTGCTGTCTGACATCGTACAACTTCATAGACAACACCCATAATGCAAGATTTCCTCTTGAAAACGAAAAACGGAAGAAAGATATTATAAATAATAATAATAATAATAATAAAATTGATAATAATGAAGATATTCAAATAGCTGCCACAATACAAGGACCTTGAGATAGAAATCTCAAAAATGTGGCACATGGGAACATTAATAATCCCTGTTGTAGTTGGAGCCCTAGGAATGGTTGGAAAACATTCCAGTAGACTAATCGAAGGGATTCCTGGAAGTCCATGCCTCAAAGTGATACAAAAAATTGTTCTGACAAGTACAGCCCACACTTAACGAAGGGCTTTATTTATGTAATTTTTTTTTGTCAGTTGAAAGTGTCATGATGCTATCCCTAACCTTAGGTCCCTGGACGGGACCCGGAAAGAAATGTGTAAACGCCAGAAATCAAAGGAAATAATAATAATAATAATAATAATAATAGATAACCCAACAGCAGTATTAATTGGGGAAATTAAATCAATAACCAGAATGAAAATGAAAAACTCGCAAAATATCTCGCAATAGTTAGCAAACTCATTTCCTGAAACAATTCACTCATATAATGAGTTCGTTCTTCCCAGGGAGCCGAGTAATGCAGACACTGTGTCAGCCAAATTTAGATAATAAAAGACAACACAACTATCACACATTAATAATAGCGCTAATCTTTCCCAATATTAATTGAAAGAATTAGAATTTCGGAATAAAAATAATACAAAAAGACATTCAATGCTTTTTCGTCCGCTGTAATGTAGCTTCTTTATGAAGTTTCTATAAATATTTTCATGGTAATTGTTTTAATGAGCTTTCCTCGTTGCTCCTGTGATTTTAAGAATTTAAGCGCCGTAAAAGATTGGGGGCTAGGTCACATCCTCTTTAAAGTGCAAATTACTGGATGTAACCGTAAATTTTATACCAACAGTTTCTTGCATTATTTATTCGGACTATTATCCGGATCTTCATTGCCATATTCACAACGTTTCGGTCGTTTTAAGCACTGGTCATCTTCAGGTGATTGCCATTTCGAACCGAAGCACCGCGGTAGATTGTTCTAGTTCCATGTGCCATGCCGCTTCGTTATGTCTCAGTTATTACCCTTTAACTTTATTCTCCAAGTTTGAGTTCACCAGCGCTGTGGGCTGGTATTGAACTCACAACTCTTTGGGTCTAGTTACAGTCTTAGCAACCATTACATTAGACATTAGGTTTATAAGCCCCAAAAATTCCTACACAAATATCCTCAAGGACCTCATGGCCCAGTGGATGGTTAGAAATGAAATAAAGGATTTTCACATGTTGCGAATCGAACCTCGATCAAGTTAAAGCTCGTCTTAATTATAAACCAATTCAATCGCATCGCCTGCTTTTTAACAGAATTGTTTGCTAACTATTGCGTGATGTTTGGAGTCTTTTTTAATTCTTCAATTTTGGTTCTTCAAATGTTGGTTAGAACAATCTATCCCGGTGGACGAAATAACGGGTTCGATTCGAAATTCCTATCAACTGAAGAAGGCCAGAGCGTACGAAACGTTTTGAATATAGTAATGAAGATGAGGATAACAGTCATAGTAATATAAATAATGCAAGTAATCTTAATACTTCATCTCAGAGATCTAAACAAATATAACAGTTTGTTCTCTCACCTTGCCTGTGGAACGCACTTTCGGCTTCTTGCTCTTCGGTCAGTTTTGATCTTCCTCTTCGCTATGTTTTCCAGGTTGAAAAACCACTGGCTATAAAAACGGACGATGAAGTAATATTTCAACAAATATATTTAGCGCTTCTGCTTTATGAATTTAAGCGTACTACTGGATTAGACGCGTGGTCTCCTCATTTTAAGAGCTGGAACGGCCAGGTTCTAAAGTGTGTTCTACATACAAACAGTTTTTTTTTCTCTCTCACAATTCTTCGGTTTCTTACTCTTCAATCAACTTTAATGTTCAGAAACTGAAATGTAATGTCAGTCGTTATCTTCTCTCATAATTCTTGCTTTTTTTTAATTCTCCTCTCGCCTTAATAATGATCTTTCTCAGATTTTCACTCTCAGTAATCCTTTGGTTCACCCTCGCTTCACTTTTATGTAACTCTCGTTCGGCTTCCCGTTTTAATAATAATGACTTAGTTTATTCAAGTTCACCACAAACAAGCCAGTAAAACCACCGAGACGCAAGGGCTTACTGGGAGTGGAAGAGTTAGAAACAGAAAAATTGCTAAGGAGCGAGAACAGAGGGAAAGTAATCAGGAAGACGCCAGATAGCGATTGGCATTGCATTTAAATTTTTGCAGATTAAATTTCGCTGGAAAGCATCGAGCCGGAAGAGATTTCCTCAAGCGAGAAGAAACTTTTAGCATAGAATTTACGGTTAAGTCTAGCCATCGCAAACGTAAACTGGTGAGACTTCGTCCCCAGTCTAGTAGTAATAATAATGCATAAAACAATAGCTGTATTTGTTGGTAAAATGAAATTAATAAAATTGAAGAATTAAAAAAGACTCCAAACATCACGCAATAGTTAGCAAACAGGTAATGCGATTGAATTGGCTTATAATTAAGACGAGCTTTAACTTGATCGAGGTTCGATTCGCAACATGTGAAAATCCTTTATTTTATTTTGAAATATCAACCAAAAAAACAGCAATATTATTTGACAGTTGTCACATAACTTGTTCTAACATAATTATTAGGATGTTAGGAACGCAGTTACATATTGCACTGCTATAAATTACATGTCAAACAGCCAATGTAAAACCAAAGGTAAATTTTAGGAATCTGCGTCTAAAATTACTTCCTCATCTACACCGAAAATATGTCATTTAATGCGCATTTCAAGGCTCAGATGGGAGAAACTGCATTTGGGTTTCAAATGAGAAATTACCTGGAGAACCAGACGCAAAATCACACCAACTGAAATAGTTTTCTTACCTGGAATTCCAGTATTTCATTTTCTCATCGCATTGTTACAAAAAGGATTTTGTTTACCTCCATCTTTTTTCTGGTGACAATCACAAAATGAGAACCCAATGCTAATAGCAAAACTTAAAGTCTTTGCTTTGTGCTTAGTAGAATACAAAAGCTGTTGCCTATGACGACCTATTGATATACGCCAGGAACATCAATACAGATGTTTATCATCAGCAGCTTGACCGGTTAAACAAATATCTATAAAGTGTCCTGCTTTGCTAAACAGAAAATAGGTTTTATTATCCAACAGAACAATGTGTGTGGGTCTCTTTGCAAAACAAACCTAAGTAAAATATCATTTCGATGGGAGGTTCTTCCATGTTCTCCAAACTTACCAGCTTTGACCGCTTTCTTCTTTTTATGTGCCATGTCCTTTCAGGACGTAGGGGATCATGACTCTTCACCTCCCTCTATCCCTTGCAGCTCTCAAAAAGTTCCTTCCCTCTGCTTCCTCCCACAGATCACGTTTTGTCATCAACTTGCTCAAGCTAGTCAGGTATGTCACGCACTGTTTCCCTTGTCTCTCTCTTTCCTTCTATTCGACCCGTGAGTATCAGTTTCTCCAGACCCTCCTTTCTCATTTAGTGTCCCAGAAACTTCAGCTGCCTCTTATATTTAATTATAAACCTACTCCTTGTTTGCAACCACTCTATGATCACATCGTTGCTCACACGCTTGGTCCATGATATCCTTATCATCCTTTTGTAGAACCACATCTCCAGAAAGTACTTGATTCCTTCTCTCTCTCTCTCAATACCAAGCTAATATATGATTAAAGATGGAAAACTTTTCAGAGGACTGTCAGAAGTTTATTCAAATGGAAAAAAAGACAACGTGTATTCTGTGCACACTGTCGCGAATGCAAAATCGAACAATTATCCGAGCATTCTTCTAAAATAATTATCTCAGCAAGAGAGGCTAAATGTAAACGAATATATGAACGACAGACATTTTTCAAAGAGTAAGAAAGTATTTTACCACATCTAACTCCCAATATATTGAGAAAAGCAACAGATTGCAAATATAGGTGCAGGAGTATCTCTGTGTCGGCAGGACGTAGGCTGAACCGTCCATGTGATTAGCAAACTACAATTAGTGGGAATCCGTCGTGACTACGGTGCGAGATTGACGTTGGTGGGATAAATGATAATGATTAGTTGCACAAATTGTATTAGCCTATCCATTGAAAGGCGATTGTGAAGCTGGTAATGTGGCTTGGTGGCTAGAAGGGCCGTTAAGCTGGCAATAAAGAACCGGACGATAGGATATCAGGACGAGGACGCTGATGGGTAGGGTAGGGAATTGATTGAATGAATTGGCGGCTATAATCTGTTGGCTTATCACGCACACTATCATTTATTCCTTCAATCTTTTGATCGTCCTTTGCTCGTTCGGCTTTTAATTTAAATGTTCACTTATTCGACAAATCTCATCGTTTATTTCTATCTATCTATCCTAATCGGTTCATATCTGTGTTTTCAAGTCTATCTCTCTCTCAATCTACCTATATTTATCTGTGTATATCTATGTATGTATCTATGCATGCATGTAGATATGTATGTAGATATATATCTAGATGTGTATCTACGTAGATATGTATCTACGTATGCATGTATGTATGTATGTATGTATGTATGTAGATGTCTGTTCTACAAATACTTTCATGGCAATTGCTCCGAGGAGCTGCATTCGCTGGTTCAAGCGCACTACGAGGCTGGCATCCCGCTCTCACTCCTTCACTGTCGAAACTCCTAAATGTAGCCGTCTCTTCTACTCTAATAGCTTCATGTCTCGCACCTCTCGCCTGTGGAACTCCCTTCCCTTTTCCTGTTTCCCTGTGAGCTATAATCTCCAGCTATTCAAGTGTAATGTCAATCGACATCTCCAGTTGCCTTGATCTATCCACTACCCTCATCCTTTCTTCTATCACCCTATCTGATCTTGCTCTAAACAATCTGTAACCCCTTGCGTCCTAGTGGCTTCCCGCCTTGCTTGGGGTGAAATGCTTAAAAAAAAAAAAAAAAAAAAAAAATTTGTGTATGTATCTACGTATATATATATACACATACTAATCAGTTTATATATCTCTGAACTGTTTATATCTGTGTGTTTGCCTGTTTCTCTAGCTATCTATCAATCTAACTATATTAATCTGTAATATCTATCTATCTTAGTCTGTTCATATCTGCCTCTATGTCGGTTCATTTCTGCGTGTTTATCTGTTGATCTATCTATCTTATACGTACATATCTATGTATTTTTCTATCTTCTATATCATCATCATCTCTTTCTCTTAGCCTTCTCATATCTGTTTCTCTCTCTCTACACACACACACAGTATATATATATATATATATTTCTTAGTCTTTTCATATCACAATATGTTCATAACTCTCTATATCTTTATTTATGTACGTATATATATATATATATATATATTTTCTATTTTTCTGACAACGGGCCATAAAGCGATGGTTAGAGTGCTAGCATTTCAAACCCACTGAACGTAAGTTTTGTTTTCAAAAAGTCTCAGACGAATCTTGCTTCCTACCTCACACTAAACTATATATCTGCTCCTTCGTTGTTATCTGTTTTTGTACATTTAAAAGACTCACACTAAAGTACAAAGCGACACGTAAAGACGCGATAAATGAAAATAAAAGAAACCGACATGATAGACAACAACACGTAAAGAAGCGACATTCGAAAACTACGAAAGGAAATACAATTCAATGCACGTAGACAAGACCCATCAACGCAGAAACTATGACTAAAGCTTATCGAAGTTGAACGCCTTCAAAAACGATATTGTAAAAGAGTAATCGAATGATTAACTGTTTTCTTATAAAGAAACATTCCGAATTCATTGACTGAACCTTTGGCGTTGTTTTTTTTATTTTGCTTTTTAATTGATCCATCCTAAGGAAGGCGGTAATGCTACCAGTATGCAGGGTGTTACAGAAAGTGAAAGTGAAAATGAACAAACAAAATTCAAAATGGGGACGATTGAAATTTATAAAATACTCAAAATCTTTTTTTTCGAGAAAACAGTTTTCTCAAGACCAGCTTTCTAGTATCCATTGGCGTTTCCTTCCTAACATTTTGTTTAGGGTAGTGTAGAATGTCAACACCTTCAGAAGATCATTTCTTTATCTTTAGTTACGTTTTAATTGTTGCTGGTGTCGAATGTCTTCAAATGTTGTGCACTTTGTTCTTTGGCAAACTGTTTTTTTTTGGTGATTTAGTAGCGCCAGTCGGTGAGATCTTAGGAAGGACGGTGTTCTTTAAAACCGACAGAGTTTATTTCACTGGTAGTGATTTTCAATCATTCACAAGAGGAAAACTGAGAAAAATGCAATTTTTTGTTTTGAAAAATAACAAAACGCCAAATAAGTACTTTATTTGATTTCCACTGAAAGTTGCAGGCACAAACACATACACCCATGCGCGCGCACACACATACACACACATATATATATATATATATATATATATGTGGCATATTTTTATTCAAGGTTAAATAATTTAGATGTATTATGTATTTTTTACAAATCACATAAGTTACCACTTTGCATAGAGGTAAAAATATTTTGAATTTATGATGTTAACGTATCCATAGATATGCAACCACTGAAAATGATTACAGATGAAATTGAAAGTACCTGGGAAAATAAAAATTATTTAAAAAATTTTTTTAATTTTTCTTAATCAATTTTTACAGCCACCAAGAAATTAAAATAATTCGTGGACTTGAAAACTCAAATAAGTAGACATAATTCAACGCCCCTATATATATATATATATATATATATAAAATCAACCAACTATTTCATTGTACTTTCTTCTTTCTAAACACTGCGAAAATTGCTAGCTTGAACATTTGGGTCAAATTTGAGGTAATGCGTTCTTTTCTGTTTATTAAACTGAAACATCCAGTAAATATATTTTGTTGTTTTTGTTACTGAAGCCGTTTGACAAAATAGCGTTAAACATGAAAATGCTTAATACACAGAAGTGTATCAATGAATTTGTCCATACGACAAAAATGAACCGTTTGACCTTTACCAATATTTCCTGAAATTTTACGGAGACTGTAACTATATTCTGCTCAGTATAGTTGCAATATAAATCCCAGGTGGGTTCAGCCCGTGTTGAATAAACTCAAATTTGACTGAGCAGACATCTGCAAAACAGGAACTGTCCAAGCGACCCATTAGACATCCATACTCTGAAACAAGCCAACCAATAAAGCTGAAAAGCAATTCTATTGAACGTTGTTTAGTGATCCCTCCATTTTTTGTTTCCCTTGAAATAAATAAAGATATTTCATTCGAAGCATCATCCATATGTGTGTGGTGTGGGTATAATGATATTGACAGATAATAATACAAGTATTTAGACTACTGACATCGTTCAGCTTGTTGTCCTAATTTTTGTTGCCATATTCACGATGTTTCGGCCGTTTTACGCTCTGGCTTTCGTCAGGTGATTGGAATTTCGAACTGAACCCTTTACTTCGTTCAACAGGTGGGGGTAGACTGTTCTAGTTCCACGTGCGATGCCTTTCCTCGATGTCTCAGGACCAGCATCTCAGTATGAGTATTAGCTAAAAAAAAATTTTTTTTAAATTTAAAAAAAAAAAAAAACTTGGGTGTCAAGCAATTATAATTGTTAAAGCTAATTAAGAAGGAATATTAGCATTGTTACAAGTTCTCGCTTAGACTGGACTGGAAATAAAACATATATATATACGTTAGATTTGGCTGCTTCATTCTGTCGAGTGAAGTTGGTTCAGTGGTAGAAACTCTGACGAACATCAAATCTGTTGGCTTTCGATCCGAGCTTGAAGCATTCGGTTGTCTAGTCGTACTGAGGTGCTGTAATACAGCGAATCAGTAGTGTCTGTTATATATATATATATATATATATATATATTCACACACATACATACACACGTTATCCACCTGAGAATGACATTTACTTCTGGATTAAGAGAAAGATAATAGAAAGTAAAAATAGACACTGACCCGATCCAGCAAGTAACGTAATAGTGTTAAAACCATTAAATGTAAATCTGATCTCGTTCTTTTGAAATAGAAAATTATTTCAGACTAAAATACTGTCATGAAGAAAATGTAGCTAGTAAAATGGTTACTAGAAGGATGAAAACAAAATGCAGAGCAGTTGATGACAGGTTTTTGAACATACGTTTTTTCCATTCCAATTTAAAACATTTTTTTCTGTTCTTTTTGGCAAGCAATTTGCTTTTTTATGGTTTGTCAAAATTTGGTAACACTCAAATAAAACACTATTTTTCTTCGATTTTAATCTTTTTCTTGCAATTTATTCAATATGCGTACGTCCTTTTAAAGCTTATATTCATGACTTTTTCTCTTTCTTACAATGCCCATACTTACTGCTTCTATTCTTTCTTAGAATTTGCTGTTTTTATTTCTTTTCTTTAACGCTTCCGTTTGTCTTTCTTTTACGATACCTTGTCTTTTTCTTTCTCCATTCACTTATTTTATTTCGTTCATTTTCTTCCCGCTTTCGCTTATTTTTCTTTCTTTCTTCTTTCTATTCTAAGGTCTTCATAATGTTTTTCTTTTCTATTAAATATGTTTTTTTTCAAGCTTCCCCTTATTTTGATTGTCAGTTTCTTTTAAAGAGTTTATTCTTTACTTACTTTTTTTCTAGTTCATCCATTTTTCTTTTTTCTTTATTTTTTACTATTCCATTCTTTTTATTCCCTTGTTTTTTCTTGCCGCTTCCCCTTATTTTCTTTCTTATTTTTACATTTCATGTTGCTTACTCTTTCTTTCTTTCTTTCTTATTTTTACATTTCATGTTGCTTACTCTTTCTTTCTTTCTTTCTTATTTTTACATTTCATGTTGCTTACTCTTTCTTTCTTTCTTTCTTATTTTTACATTTCATGTTGCTTACTCTTTCTTTCTTTCTTATTTTTACATTTCATGTTGCTTACTCTTTCTTTCTTTCTTATTTTTACATTTCATGTTGCTTACTCACTCTTTCTTTCTTTCTTATTTTTACATTTCATGTTGCTTACTCTTTCTTTCTTTCCCGTTTCTTCGTATTCTCCTTTATTCTTTTGTTCTTTATTTCTTTTCCAAATAACACGCTATTTATAAAATTCGTTATGTGGTGAACAAATACTTGGATGTAACATTGTAGGAGACAGTCTTCAGAATCGGTAACCTAAGCCGGAGTCAAATAACGAAACAGCGACCAGAGTTTCCTCTGAAGCGCTGATAAGAAAACGAAAATCCATTGGTTTTACGTGGAACAAGAGATACTGCAGACCTCCTTTCTCCACCACGCAGCGTAATTCTTTGTATCACATCCTAAACATTATCTTCTGCCTTAGTTTCATCTCTTCTCCTTTCCAGCTTACGTTTCTCTGACCACTGCCCCCCTACTTTTAAATGGTGGTGACTTGTCTTCATCCGGATCAAACCGTATCTACATGAGACAGTCGCTTAAAGAGCGTCAGGTAATTACAATGTTCTGTCTTCAGTTACAAACCCAATCACTTTCGAAGGAATCATCCGTGAATTACGCCAACGTATCCACCAACCTTACTTTCCTATCTCTTCCTTTCCCTCTTCGCGACAAAGCCTTCCTTTTCCTTCACTTCTTCTTCGGACAATTTAGCCTCCAGACATTGGGCGCTGACTAAGACACATAAAACCTCTGTCAAGAAAGTTGAAGATTGTCCGATGTCTTCGCGGGAAGGACTTTGAAATAGTCACCAAAGACGAAGTCTTTCACTTGAAGTTAATGTACTCCTGTGTATTTGTTGGCTTCTGGCATCGGCGCTTTCATTCAACGACTTCTATCTTTCATTTGATAACCACTATTATTATTTTGCTGTTTATAGCTAAATAATTTTTAGCAGCCTTTTTCGTCAGTACTGCTTCATCTGTTTTGTGTTAAATTTTAAATCTGGTCCTCATTTTGTAATAAATGAGGCTTCAGTTATCAACTGCATTTCTACTTTGATTTTTTTTTCTTCACACTTCACAATATTACTTTTTTTTCTCACATTCTTTGCTCTTTTTAACTTTTCTTTCTTTATCCTCTCAATAAATCAGTCATTCTCCTATTTTTCTTCTTTGTAATTTGATATTTCTTTTTTTCTTCCTTTCCTTTCGGTTTATTTTTCTCTTCTTAAATCTATTTATATTTTAGTCACTTTATGGTAGTTATTTCTTGTTTTGGTCCTGATGGATTTTCTTTCTTACTTCCTTTCTTCCTTCCTTTCTTCCTTTCATTCATTCATTCTTACTTCCTTTCATTCTTACTTTCTTTCTTACTTCCTTTCATTCTTACTTTCTTTCTTACTTCCTTCCTTTCATTCTTACTTTCAACAGTCATTCTATTAATTTCTTTCTTTTTTACTTTCTAATGAGTTTTTTTCCTTTTCTTTCCCCCTTTCTTTGTTTCAACAGTCATTCTATTAGTTTCTTTCTTTTTTCTTTCTTATATTTGAGTTTCCTCCTTTCTTTCTCCCTTTCTTTCAGTCATCCTTTAATTTCTTTGTTTTTTACTTGCTAATATTGAGTTTCTTCTTTTCTTTCTTTCTCCCTTTCTTTAAACCGTCATTCTGTTAATTTATTTTTACTTTCTAATATTTCAGTTTCTTTTATTTTCTTTCTAATATTTCAGTTTCTTTTATTTTCTTTCTAATATTTCAGTTTCTTTTATTTTCTTTCTAATTGTTGCTGATTATTGCTTAAATTTTAAGTTATTTGGACTTTTTCACATTGTTTTCTTTTCGTTTGTTTAAATTTATTTTAATTTCCTTTCATGTCGCTTCTCCTATCCAAAAGATTCTTTTAAAACCTATTACATTTTTACTAGAATTAAAGATTGTCTTTATACAAGAATAGCTTTAAATTATTTCATCATTTAATATAAATAACAACTTAGGGACGTTTCTCTCTGGTTATTTCTAGACAATTTTCATAAATTCTAAAACATGAATCTTAAATTAGTGCCTTACCGACCGGCCACAAAGGAGCGTTCGGTAGAGTTAGCGTAAATGACGGTTCCGTATAGGATGCAGGTTCGAATCATGTCAAAGGACGAATATTTTCTATGAAAATTTCTCGGACATTCAGGCCGGTAAATGTTATTTAATACTGTTTATTATAAACAGAGCATTTACTTAAATACTTGTATCTATAAAAAAGAACGTTAAACATAAAAATGTCTTTAATAAATAAATTGTCGAACTTTGTCCATTTCTCTCTCTCTCTCTATATATATATATATATATATATATATATATTATAAGCGTTTCAACCCACGCAAGGCGGGAAGCCACTAGCACTCTAGACAGAGATTTGGAGCTAGAGCAAATAAAAGTGATAGAGGAAAGGATGAAGAGAGGGATAGGGGATAGATCAGGGTATCTGGAGATGTCTATTGACATTACATTTGAATAGATAGAGATTATAGCTATCAGGGAAACAAGAAGTGGGGAGGGAGTTCCACAGGTGATAGGTGCGTGATATGAAGCTATTGGAGTAGAAGAGACGACTACATTTAACAGTTTCGGCAGTGAAAGGGTGTGAGCATGATGCCAGCCAAGTAGAAAGCTTAAATTCTTGAAGTTTTGGAACCAACGAAAGCAGCTCCTCGGTGCTGTTGCCATGAAAGTTACCATATATATATATATATATATATATATATATGTGTGTGTGTTTATATATATATATATATATATATATATATCTCAGGGTTCCGTTGTCAGTTGTTACCACCTTCTTCTCTGTGGTCCTTTTACAGAATATGGTGATTCAAAAGTGTAACATCAAAGCATTATGTGCTGGTTGCTTTCTTTGTTATTTTGTTTATACCGCCTGATTTTAGTGTATTTTATTTCACCCATTTTTTCTTCCATCCATCTTTTCTCATGCATTTGCGAGCAAAAGAAATTAACCTACCAGGACAAAAAGAAAATCAGTTTAATTTTTACTCTGTGTTAGAATTATTCGTGCTCATTCAGATATGTAGTGCAAACTTATCAATTTTACATGAAGACACAATGAGGAATCTGAAGACATGGTGATGCTGATGCAAAATTATGAGTCAATAGATACTCCTACCATTATAAACGTCAACAGATATTAAGATAGGCATGCGCATTTCTAATGTTAAATGGACGAAACACATACTGCATAACCACTGCCTACTCCATTTAGACCTTTTTATCAATTTGAGTCAAGGTGAAATAATAAAAAAATTGGAATATGAAGTCTTTCAGCTTTCAACAGATGTCCATTGACTGTCTGATACGAAACATATGTTGATCATTGTGATATTTTATTCCTGTGATATCAGTTATAACAATAATCATCAGATATCTAATATCAGCCAATCAATAGAGATCTGATGATGATTAGATGTTACTTGGTCGAAACGTGTTTATAATAACATCTAGTGATCAATATGGAAACAATAATTTGAAATAATACAAGAATCTAAATATGATATCAGATAACAATACAATAGTTTTATCTGATGTTGAAAAAGTGTGTCCACAAAACTTTGAAGTCATTTGAAAGGTGAATTATTTAAAGCTTTGACTTTTTGTGTTCTAATATTTTATTGAAAAAAAACAAAAAAAATTGTTTGGCCTTACAGCCACATCACGTTCAAACCCTGGTTCACTTAAATTCATCAAAGTTAAGCAACGTCCAGCTTGGTCAGTACCTAGATGGGTGATGCTTTTTTTTTTTGGAAATAATAAGTATCTGGAATCTTTTTGATGTGTTTTTGTGGTGTAATGGATAACGGCAAATGCACCTATAAAGATATGAATTCTTTTTCCTCTTAGCCTAGTTATGGATTAAATTAGTAAAACCTAGATCACTTGTCTGCCCATTATATATATATATATATATATATATATATATATATATATATATATATAAATAAAAAAGACTCGTTTCGGAAAACCCTCAATCAATTTTTGATCAATCTCGAGGAAAAAAAGGTTTTAAAAAGAAAGAGCCCACAAATACATGAACTTCACAAAAACACAAAAAATTGCAAAGATGCAGGTCTTATTTAGCCAAAGAAAAAACCCGATACGAGTAAATTACTAACTAACAAAAGAGCTCAATACAAATAATAGAGCAGACCTAGATACTTCATCTAGTGAGCCAGACAAACCTACCTGTATGGTTTCACCTTCAAACGGATCGTCAGGGGGTTTCAAGTTAACGAGGCAAAGAGAAACACATATTTATAGGTGATAGCTAAAATCTCATACCACGTGACAAAAAACAAAAAAGTAAAAACAAAAACAACCTAAAATGGGGGATAAATATTTATTCAACAAAAAAAAAAATTTTGGTGGAAAGTCAATAACGGAAAAACGTCTAATTTAGTAGCCAAGATTTTTATGTCCTATCGTTACATACATTGAGAATTTCATTTTCCAGAGTTTAAACAATTGGTTAGGTTGATCATATAAAGCAACGGATCCAAACCATCTCCTCAGCACATAATTTTCCAAATTTATACAAGTGCTTTATATTTTGGGCATTTTTTTAATATTTCAGGGAAATATTAAAAATGCCAAAATATAAAAGAAAATCCATTGTCAATCATCTATCCCATAATTTCAATTTCTTCCCATCTTTTCCATTCCTCTCACACAGTTGAGCTTTACTATTCAGTTGATTTTGACCCTTTTAAATAGGTGAACATTAGTATAAAAGTAGTATTAGTGGTGAAGTATAGGATCATAAAGTAAAAATGATACCATGCAAATATATACATTACAGCACCCAAAAAGCTGCCCCGGTACAAAAAAATCGAATATGTAAAAAAAAAAAAAAAAAAAAAAAAAAAAAAAGAAAAAAAATTACAAAGAAAACTTGCTAGAGGATAATGAAAAATTGGCAGCAGTGATGGATTCAAATTTGAACTAGAGACCAATTCAATAAAAACTGTTCGAAAGAACTTGACACAAGAAACAATGCAATATATATAATTATATGTATGCAGTAGTCAGTACTTTGAATCTAATAGATTGGAGCCACAGAAAAAATGATATAAGAAAACTGATAAAAATCGATGAGCGGCGAAAAGTACCCTTCTTAGGTATGTCATATTACCAAATATATAGGAGGTGAAATATTTTAATTTGACAGTGGTTATATATCTTAGACAAACAAAAGTTTCTCACATTGCATTTGTTTCAAGATTGGCCTAATAAAAGGTTTGATCTTAACGCAACTGAACACAGAAGGAGTTGAATACTAGTGTTTATAAAAGAAAGCCAAAGGGCATTCAAATGCTTCGGATTTTTAATGTTCTGAAATATAAGATTAAATGTATATCTATTTCTAGTAACTCGTAACTTTTCTCTGCCCTATTTTCTATGCATTCAGAATCGACAATGATGTGGTTCTACAGACGGATGCTGAGGATTTCGTGGGCCGAGCGTGTGAGCAGAGATGAGGTCTTGGAGAGAATGTAGACAAGTAAGAGTCTCATGCTTAACATTAAGAAAAGGCAGCTGAAGTTTCTGGGACACATAATGAGGAAGGAGGGCCTGATAATCTGATACTCACGCGTCGAATAGAAGGAAAGGGAGACAGGGGAAAACAACGCGTGTCTGGCGGACTTAAGCAAGTGGATGACAGAAGAAGGTCTGGGGAG